CCCCCCCCCCCCCAAAAAAAAAAATGAAAAGTAGAGGGGGAACTGGGGAGACCTGTGCCGTCTGAGTGAGCGGATGAGTCTATTTAAAACAAATCTTACAGGCGTTCCCTCTCTCACTTCTCCCCCTCCCTCGTTTTTATTTTATCGCGCTCCTTTTTACTTCGCACCGCTCCCCACTATCTGAACGCCCGGAACAGGCTAACAGTCTATATAAAACTTCGAGTGGCCTCTTGCGTGACATGACACGACTTGGTGAAATTTACATACAGTACCGTGATATAAAAGGTAATGAGCAAATAATGAGTTAGCAGTTCATTGAACTTCAGCGGTGCGAGGGTTAAAGTTGTGTTTGACTGAAACATTCTGCAGAAATGTCTGGCTACAAGTTGTTCTACTTTCCAGTCCGCGGTGGAGGAGAAAAATGTCGACTTGCATTTGGGGCTGCAAAGATTGACTACGAGGATATTCGATTACCAGCCGAAGAATGGGCAAAAGAGAAAGCGTGTAAGTAAATATAAAAGTTCCGTGAAGTGCGCGATGGTGAATTATTTTTCGATTGTATTTTTAGAATTTTGTGATCTTAAATGGCTGTTTATAACTGAATGCGATCAAAGCCGATGGCAAATACGCATACATTCACTTGAATTTCGATCGGTTTTATGTGTGCGCGAATGCTGTCGTACTGAAATAAAATAAATTATTGCTTAGTCACGGGCCGCTGACAAGTGTGCTCACCAGCCTACACACTCGTTTGCTTCCGACCACAAATGGTATCAATGATTTTGTTATTTCGTCACTGAATAAAAGTTACGTTTTCTTCGTTTCGAAGACTGCTACGAAAGAAAGTTGTTCTCTGAGGCCTGGGTCAAAGGTATGTTCTGAGGATATGAATGACGGCGTTGCTAAAACGAGGGTAGGGTGAAAATAATAACACGAAAAATAAAAATATTAGAATTTGAATATTTTTAGCAACATGCACCGAGACATCCAAGAACATCTTCTGTTTGAGCAATAACATGAACGCAGAATGACAAATTCAGATAGTTTTGAATATTCCAAATAATCCCTATTAGAATCAAGCCAAAAACTACTTGCCAAATTTTCCTACCCAAAAATTCCCGGAATCGAAAATTCAGTGCCAAAAAATCCTTCGTTCATCTTCGTCACTTGAAATAAGGAGTACCCCTCCCCCGGGCGTTCAACGCGTTCCCTCCTCGCGAAGCGGGCGCGTTCGTAAGGAACGCGTGACAAAGCGAGTGGTGTAGGAGTTGCTCAGAAGGTCTCTCATCTCCTAATTGGTCGCAGGAAACAATGACATGCCATTCTGCCAATTATTTTAGTATTGCTTGGGGCCAGGGAAACTCACCATTGGTGACCTCTCTTCCGAGCAGCTGCTACACGATTTCGACGAAGCCCATATGGCTTTTGCTCAGGTTAGCGCAAGCGCGCGCGAACGCGAACGCGACAAACAAGGGTCCGTCAAGCGCGTGGTCATTTTCGCGTTTCGCTCAACGGACGATGAAAAAAGAGAGCGTTCTCGTTGTCTTGGTAGGTGTGGTCAAATAACCGTGAAAATCTGATGAGTCTCGGTTGGCGCAATCCTATATCAGAAATGAGCTAAATCTTAATAGAAATTCGAGTTTGGGACGTGGTCAGGCTGGTCGCAAAATTTTCGCCACATTTTGCTTCTAGGGGAATGAAAACCGATTAACTTCCTCGTTGTTAGCTTGCGTGTTATGCGCCATGACCTACCCTATTTGAAATATTAGCACCCAGGAAAGAGCAACTCCTAATAATGGCCTATATAGTGAGGTATGGTATGGTATGGTAACTTTATTTATACATGGTATTTCCTTCAGGTACATTTACATTCAAGTATAGAAAACTAACAACCTAACTAATCTATAATCTAAGATAAAAACTAAAATAATAAAGATGAAAAGAAAACACCTGCTTTTCAAGGAGGCTGTGTGTAAAAACAGCATATCAATGATTAAATTATTTGACAATCGAAATTTAGGTCCCTTAATTATTCCTTAAATGAATTAGGGGATGTCAATTGCCGCTCCTCCAGACTCCAGGGGCAAGCCGTTCCATAACACACTTCCGCTGTAAGAAAGACTTATTTTATAAAATTGAGTACGGGGTTGTGGAACAGCGAGATTGTATTCATTTTCTCTAAGGTTATAACAAGATAAATCTTCACCCAAAGCGGGTCCATTTTTCACCTTTTAGGTATATGAAAGGGTAGGGGTTTCATTAGTAGATGATGATGATGATGATGATGGGGTACCATTTATCAGTTGAAAGGGGTAATTCTCAGTCAAAATAGTTTGTGTAAAAAGTGAGGTGTTGGACCTTAGGGTGAAGCCTCTCCGTATACGACTTCATTGAATAGACCCCCCACCCCCCTCCCCGCCCCCGCCGGGATTTAGCATTATTAGAACCAAGGCGGCTATTGGCGTCTCCTTAGAAGAAACCCCGACGTTCTACCACTTTAATTTTCTCTCTGTTCTGTTTCAGCTGGTAGACCACCTCTTGGTCAAATGCCCTTCATTGTGACTCCTGAAGGAAAAATCCTGGCACAGTCTGGTACAATTACGAAGTACATCTGCAAAAAAGGAGGTGATGTATTGAACGTAATTTGTTAATCAGCATATCA